CCGAAACCAGCCCAACCACTGTGCTCTGGTTGTTGACTGAATTAGGAAGGGTGAAAAAATGTAAGGTAGAGGTCGAAAGAATCAACAAATTGAATTCATTATGTATGCGATGCTGACCGACAGTCTCTACTGATGATAAGTTCTGCTGTGCGTCCTTCTTTGTCAACTCGAAAATCAAGACGTTCGTGTGAATGCTTTCAGTTTTGATTTGAACAATTAGAGAAATCAACTTATTGTTAGAAGAAAAGTAAAATTCATTTCAAATTCTTCTCTCACATCAAACGCTATGCAAAACAAATTCATGTTCGAGAAAGAAGCTGTTTTTGTCGGTAATCGTAAAAATGTAATTTTCCGAATTCAGCATCCGTCACTCCATCACAACAAGACGCAACAAATTAATCTGCCCCAAAAAACTCACGCTGCATCTTCGATTGGCCTTTGGGGAGTATCAACATTTTGTTCCGATGCACTGGGCACCTCAGCGCTTTCCGTCTGTTGTTCTTCTATCGCATTGCTGAATGGAACAACGTAAGTTATCTTTTAGGCTGTATTTGTGTAAAGTGAGAGCAGTTCAGATTAATATGTTCAATGAATGCGATCGCTGGATGTAGTTTCCGAATGAAAACCGACTTCAGAATCTCACCGATAGAATCTTGAAGGATCTGAATTAATAATCGGCTGTTGCACTTTCAAGTGTTTTCAATCGACTAATATTTGGTTGATTTGGTTTAATAGGACATTACAATGTGACTCAAATAACGTTTCATCTCAACCTAGATTGCGAACAAAGGCAAAACGACAAGACGATTGAGAAAAATAAGAAAATGATGCAATACGATAAAAGAAGTTGGTCTGTTGGTCATGTGGATGGACATTCAGCAGTTATCGACTGAAATCGAAGGAGGCTACTGATCAGTCAGGGTGATCGAAGATCAAATTTCGCTGAGCAAAAACCGAAACCGAATACGGTTGAAAACCTGACTTGCACAAGATAACCAGAAAAGAGTCAACTCTGATTTATACCTACCTCTGGGGAATTTGCTCGGTCTGACGAGCTGGCTTCTCCGGTTGTTCCTCTGTGGGCACAGCTGGCGTGTCTCGCTCACTTGGTGGCTTCCAATCCTAGAAAACGTCATATTCATTGATCGTCCACTGGAGCAAACTGGATTTGATCAAAAAGCACCGAGAAAGGTGAATGGAGATAATTTAGCCTACTCCCAGATCCGCTCTGCCTGCGGCCATTTTCATAGCCAATTGTTGCGCTGCTCTGTCCATATCGTCCTCTTGAGCCGGGTTGAATTCCGGCGTTTTAGCACGTTTCTTGCTTTTTTCTTTCGCTTTCTTCTTTTCAGCTTTCTTCTGCGCAATCATTTCCTGCTGAATCTTTATTTGTTTCTGCGCCAGCTCGGGAACATACCCTTGTAAACCACTGAAAAATTTTTTGATTAATTAACAACGTGCTCTAGGTTCCATTAGAATCAAAATGCTCATCAAATGCAATGGAATGAATGGCACAGGAGCGAGCGAAGAACATCAAGTGGAGACGTTCAAATTTCAACCATTCAATAATACACAAGTTCACTAAAATCATTCACGAAGTATCCTCCTTTCGTAGTAATCATGACAGTTCAAAGCGATATCCCATTCAATTCACTGATTCAGTCAACTCCTATAGTGCTATCGAAATTCCGATGAATTTACACGATTCTGTTTCAGTTGATGTGAAAGAATCTTTATTCAAGTGTCCGTCGCAATGTGATGAGAGGCTTGAAGATTACAGTACGATTAACAATCCCAGTTCGTGACATCTCAGAAACAGAAAACAGCACACACATAAAGCAGTTTTCATGAGTCGAATCCGATATAACTATACAAGTATTGACCAAAAAATTGCTCCTCGTAATGCTTTCATGAGAGAATGGATGTATTGTGCTTGAAAATAATCTGCTCAAATAAGTGGAGATTTGAAAACGCACCCAACTTCAGCCAGATAACTTTCATCTTTAATCTCTTTAACAGCTGTTGTTTCCTCCAACTTCTTGAGCTTCTCTTCGGTTGATTTCATCGCAACGTTTGCTTTCTCAGTCATCTTCTTGAATTGTGTCCACGCATCCTCCTCAGGTTCTTGAGGTGGTGGAGGAGGCTTACGAGCGACTTGAGGCGATGGATGTTCGGTGAGGTTCGGTGGGGGTGGCTTTTTAGGTGGGACTTTGGGCGAAGGAGGTGGTGGACGATGTGGCGCTGCAGCGATGGTCGGAGGAGCTGTTGGTGAACTGATGTGAAGACTGGGAGGTGGCGGCACGGGTCGAGGCGGTGGAACTGAAATATCCGAGAATCACTAAACAGCATTTAGGTGGATATCGTCGAAAAACAAGATGAAGCGGAGCAGAACAGTGTTAATTGAATGAGTGATTGATAAAATTAAAGGTCAAATGATGCCGTACGACGAATGATATTATGTCAAACTCTAATTCTTTATGAGAGCTACACGGAACATCTCTTGATCCCTAAGAAAGTCACAATTTCATGTTTTATGCAGACTCGCAAAAATATTTGCTCAGCAAATGTATTCCATTTTGGGAATTTCTATATATTATTGTGCAAAAGAGAAAGCAACAAATTGAATTGTAAAAATGGATAAATTCAATAAACTGACGTTTCTTCGGTTCTTCTTGAGGAACATGTTGTTCCACCGATTCACTGAAACAGGAAATGAATTGTTTTTAGAAATTCATAGTATTAGATGAATAAATGTTTCTGGCATCCAACTAAGAATGTTCAGAAATTGCTCACAATCGAGACGCTTACCACTATAAGTCTATAAAAGTCCCGGGACAATGAAAATATGGAAAATGTGGGATAATGTCTAGAAATAAGCAAATATTTTAATTGGTGATAGAAAACTGCCAGCTATAATGTTCATGAAATTCATCCGAGCTTGGAGTTACGTAGGAGTCGTTTTGATCATATGAGATCATATCTCAGCATAGATCACTTCATATACATTGAATGTATTGTCAAAAGAATTAGTCTCTTGAACTGAGTGAACTTTTGATCAAGCAACGATTCTTAGAAACCCGCTTGGAATTTCCACTGCACAATGCATTCACCACACCTGTACTGTTGAACAGTTTCAGTTTGCTGAGCCAATCGCTGAGTTTCGTCAGTCTGACTTGGCATCTGAGATGACTGCACAGGACTCGCGAAATTATTGCTGGCAGATGCAGGTTGCTGAGCAACGTAAGAGGAGGCTGCAGCCTGTTCTTGCGCTTCCCACGAAAACGGGTCAATTGGTGCTGCATACCTGAAACGAAACATTTCCATCAAATTCGTGCAAATTTCGAACAGCGCTTTTATCGGTCATTGTCATTGCATAATTTATCTGATTGTGAGGAAATATCACACTTCTTCGTCGTACTAATGGAGATAGATCTTCACTAAATATACCCACCTATTCAATTCAGGCAGAAGAGGCGGCATGAACTGAGGGATAACAGGAGCTGGACGATAACCGCTAACACCTGCGTCCGCCGAGGTCTCGGTGGTTCTCGCAGATGCACTCATCTCAGGCGCTTGTTCATAAGATGCACTCTTGTCAGATGCTTGTCCTCCTCCGTACTGTTCATAAGTCTGCCACTGCTGTTGGGCAGCACCATCTTGTGAACGAGAGAAACTCTCAGGCAGAAGAGGCGCCGTGAACTGAGGGACAACAGGAGCCGGACGATAACTACTAACATCTGCATCCGGGATCTCGGTGGTTCTCGCAGATGCACTCATCTCCGGCGCTTGTTCATAAGATGCGCTCTTTTCAGGCGCTTGTTCATAAGATGCACCCTTATCAGATGCTTGTCCCCCTCCGTACTGTTCATAAGCTTGCCACTGCTTTTGTGTACCATCTTGTGAACGAGAAAAACTCTCAGTTGTTTGACCACTGGCGTACGGTTGTTGTGAGGCGCTACCATATTCGGCATCATAATAATTTGTTGTATACTGCTGACTCATATCAGGCACCTGATTGGCTGGATATGAGGATGAAGTGGCATCATATTGATACTGCGACTGATCATAGCCTTGCGTACTGTAGCTGGTCTCCGTTGTGAAGCCTGCAACGATTCCATCATATGAAGGTGACTTTTTTAAAATAACGTAACGGCTGAGATGTGGTGTTTGCTATTTATGAAATGGATTCTGGATTCATCAAAAACCTATTCAATTTGCCTATACACCTTGCAGTGGGACTACAATTAATCAGTGTTATGAACGATATGATGAAATATCACTGGAACAGATCGCGCGATGCAATTGTGTTATTTCTAACGACGATGCTCACCTAACGTCAGGATGGGTTTGAGCTAGCATTCCATAGCATGGCAGCTGTAATAATTTACATCGATTGAATTCATTTCGCTTCACTAGCGAAGGAAATTCTCTGAGAAAGTGAGAAAACAAATAGGAATAAGTTCACGCCAACCGCTTGATTGATATTGCGAATCCGCTGCAGTCATGTCCTGTTGGTAGTCATATGACTGCGGTGCAACTGCATCGCCTCCATATGTCGATGCGGAATATGAGCCATCAACACCATACGAAGTCGAGGAATACGATTGTTCCAGTTGACGTTGTTCCGGTTGAGAGGTATCAGCTGCACCGTAATTCTGCTCAGTGGCTGTCGTATCGCTCACAATTGCTTCGCTTTGTGTTGCCTCAACTGCGCCTTGCTGTTGTTCAGTGGTTTGGACTGTTGTTGTTGGATCGGCTGCATAGCTGCTGCCATCATAAGCTTGCCATGACGATTCCGGATAACCGAAAGCACTAGTCTGCTGCTCATAACTAGCCGGAGCATACTGACTTGTTTGGTTCTGATCGCAACCTACAGGCGGTTGACCATTGTCAGTAGGTGCCAAACCGCTCGTCTCACCAATATGATCCGCTTTTGTGGTTGAGCTCGTGTACGTCTCAGTTATCAGCTGTTTGCTCACACTTTCATCAACAGCCGTTCCGGAGAGTGACGCCGATGGTTCCGGGTGAACGGTTACTTCAACGGACTGAGATGTAGTCCAGTTGGCCATTCCTTCTCGCCCTGTTCCAGTGGAAACGTTCCCAGCTACCATGTCTGAAAAAGGATGCGTTCTAAAGAGGACTTTTGGCGCTATATTTGCCACATTATTTACCGAGAATTTCTTCCCAACCTCATGAACTACTTATGGCTCAAGAAGATTGCTTTGCCAAGCAACGAATCCGCTTTCTCAAGCAAAAAAACTGATTTCCCGGAGTTCCCAAACTGATATCTACAACTATTGAATTCGTATTGAAGAATCCAGACAGCCAATCAACAAATTACGTCTCTACTCTATATCATCTACATTGCATAGATCTGTTTGCTGCACTGAGAGATCAGTCATGAGATATCGGTTTGACGCGAAATTACTGCTCAAGAACATCTCACTATTGAATGAAACAAACACAAAAGTCGTAAAGGCTCATTGATTTCGCTGATGCAGTTTCTAGTCTTGTAATCATGTACTTTAATTCTCAACTGATTTGAGCACACTCATGTTAAATGGAATTCGCGTGCATATTCGAGGATATTAATATGGTTTGCACGTCTTTGATTGCATTCTTAACCATACAATGATCCATCGAGAGTGATGAGATTTCCATATCGATGTACATGTAATATGACGCTCATTGACGAGGAACAGAAATGAAAAAAATGGATATAAACGGATATTTCAAGTGCTCTACGTATTCTGATTGAACATTAATCAACTTCCACGTTACGTCATTCTAAACATTCAACGAAATCCAAGCAGGGCCCACGCAGGAAACCTTTAATTTCAACTTCCAGCCAACGCAGATATTGCTTTAGCTACAGAAGCCTCTAAGTTGACTTATGATGCCATAATATAATAGCTCTGATGTGTTCATGAACGTAAACGTCAGGGGAATACACACTTCAAGGATGTCAAAGCAATAACAAACAGTTTTAGAGCAATGCATTTGGTTAATTTCGCGTGCGAACTGAATCGTAAGGATGGATGCCTTTCTGAATATCCGAACATTGTATGGATGCATCTATATATAGCCAAATTCGAGGGATTTCTTCCCTTCGTGAGAAATTTATTATGAAAGAAACCTTTATGACTGAATGAGAAGATGCTGAGGCTCTATAGATCGAAAACAATTCTGAATCAACTGAGCTAATCTAGCGCAAATTTGGAGCAGTTTCTTTCGCTAATAATGTGCTCCCATTGCAAGAGTTGAAGAAAAACGATACAATCACCCTCACAAAAGGCTTTATCGAGTCAAAGAATGTAATAGATAACGAAATGAATTGCTTCTACTGATATTCCATTGCAATAGATATTGAAACAGTATGACATGCCGCACTTTTCATCAAATGTTCTTACTCCGTGAATCATACAGGCTGAANGATTTCTACAAGTGATCCAGAAATGTTTGTTCTGAGCAGACCTAAACTATGGATATCTCCTACAACCAACGCAGTCACGAACTATTACTGATGTACACTTATTCGGTGCTAATTCATTATGTTTGTAATGCTTTGTTCGTATCGCCTTCAGTAATTAACCACGAAATATCTGATGAAGGAGAGATTCAATGGCAGAATTGCAGCACCTGCAATGAATGCAGCTGTTTCGGCCACAGAAGACTTTTGCACTTGTTGTTC